GAATAAAATTGGATAAAAATTGGGCGCCAAATGCAAAATTTGTCGGTGAATCCGACAGCGGGTTCCTTATAATTACATCTTCACTTCTTTTTTGGCGTCGACATAAACAACATGGTTTTGGCCTAAATTTTATTTTTCTCATTGGCACCTTTTTTTCAACCACTGAGAAAAATAAAATTTAGGCAAAAACCATGTTGTTTATGCCGACGCCAAAAAAGAAGTGAAGATGTAATTATAAGGAACCCGCTATCGGATTCACCGATAAATTTTGCATTTGGCGTCCAATTTTCATCCAATTTGAATCAGCGCGGAGCAAGCACCAAATTTTCTAATGGAACCTGTGACACAACCTTCTTTACCAATGAACAAATCTTCGCGGTAATGTCATTCACACAGATGTCGGTGTATTTATGAATTTGATATTTGATCATCTGTGAATAATTCTTTAAGATAATTATACATGTATAGAAAACAATATTTTTGAATCGAATGTAGATGTAAATGGTACTGCATGTATAAATATTTTACAAAAAGTGAGTATAATGTGTTATGCGCATTGAATTCAACATTTACGTAAAGTGTAACGTTTATCAAACTGCTTGATAACTACTTTAGATTGATATAACTATTCAGTACAAAAACACCGATCAAGGTGGCAGTATCGTGCATATTACCGTGAACATATCTCTTGAAAACGCTAGTTTGAATAATATGTTTGTACAAAAATATAATGTTCGATTTGTCAAGGTATATTTGACTTATTTTCTCTCTTACTTTTATTTATTCATTTGATTAAATGTTTTAAAAAGGATTTGAATGTGCAACCAGTTCAGAAAAGTGGAAATCCGGGGTATCAGCAGGGATTACCAATATTAGCTGGTCAATGTATAAATGGATCAAATATTACGTATGTCATTATGAAACAAAAAGAATGGATTATTATCATCGATTTGAATTTATTTTAGGCTATCAACTTTTTCATTTATAAAAGCAGAAAAAAGTGGTTTATGTGGAACGAACGGAATTCCAATTAAATTTGGAGAAAATGTACATTCAACATGTCAGTTACAGTATGTCTATTATGTCAATAGACTCGATGATCCGATCGAGATTTCCACTATTTAAACTTACATGCTAGACTTATCTGTTATTAGCGTCAATGACACTTCAATGTGTGAAGATGTATCGTTGTCGGCTTACTGGCCAAATATTCTTGACGAATTTGAGCTCTATATTGGACGCTATGGTAATTCATTAGAAACAAGTGAGAGTGACTGGTTCCCTGTCATTTCATATCAAAGAGAATTTGGCTCAAACGAATCATCTCCGATAAAACATAACTGTACCCATGGATATCGGCCGAATAGTAATGGGTCGGTAAGGTGTTTAGTTTTTGTGAAATAACTGACTTAGTAGAGAAACATGTACCATCGTTTTAGTGTTACACACACTTGGATATTCAAATATTTTATGCTAACATTGGCGTAGTTACAAATCCTCAACCCATTTTAGGTGCTGTGATATTCCATTATCAGTATGATAATAAATTAGTAAGTTCAAAACTGTAATTTTTCTAAGTAATTTTCTTTGAATTTTCTTTTGAAGAATTTGTCAACAACAATGTCATTGTTATTAACTCAAACTGTTACATATCACGATATATCCGATCTACCGGTGTCTATTGAGGGTATCATCCGAAGACCAAATACTCGATTACCAAATGATTTTTTCTATCCGTTTAAAGTCAATAGAGTTTCATCAACGAACAGTTTCGAATTAATAACACTACTATCGCTCATAATTCCAGTGTATATGTTCGTGTAACACTAATACTGGAATTGCGAACGATTAAGAGATGTAGTTCGTTAAAGTGTGTTTTTCTGACGTTTTGTTGTTGTTATACAATTAATAGTTTTCGACACAAGTAGCTCTTCAATCTCGTTTACATTTCATATATTATTATAGCCGTGTTTCTTTTTATACGACAATCTGAAATAGATTTGAGAATGGTTTTAACTGACTAAACTTCATTGTACTACTGATTTGTAGAGTATTAAAAAGAATGATCCCTTTATATCTCAAAACTGTCAACTGACGAGGGATCGTTTCCGAGTATCCAGTTGCGTTTTCCTTAAAACATACACGATTATGGATAATCTTTGATGCTGATCACGAATCTGATATCCGTTTCTGCTGCTACGCTTTTCTGGGGTGGGCCTCTGAAACTCGGGTGTCCAAAGACCCGCTATGAACGTGCAGCTGATCATATTTTGGCACTGCCAGATTGTAGAGGACATCGAATTTTTTATGTGGAAAAATGTTTAGAACCAACGAACAAGTTTTTGCAGAGACAGAAAAATTTTAGAAATCAAAAACCTGAAATATATGGGTTGTGTACTGGATTAGAAGGTAAAACTTTTCTACCCTGCGAAAAATTGTTCGGTGGTGCTGAACATTAGCTCGCATAAGTAATTCAACGTCCTCTACGATCTGGCTGTGCCAGAATATGTTCAGCTGCAAGTTCAAACTTTCAAAATGTAATAAAAAAAAATTAATAATTCAGCACCTTGCTGAAACATTTGGTTTGATTCCTAAATCTAAACATCAACGTACTACAGTTCAGCTTGCTGACAAACTAAAAAATGACGTTCATAATTTCTATTTACGAGACGATATTTCATATCAATTACCAGGTAAAAGGGTTACAGTTGTTATTAAAGAGGATGATGGAAGTTAACTAACTTATCAGAAACGAATTTTGTTTAATAATTTACGTGAAACTTATGAATTATTTAAAGCAGAGAATGACAACGTTTATCTAAGTCGTTCATCGTTTGCTGAATTATGACCTCCTTTTGTCATTTCAACAGGTGCTTTAGCACATAGGAATTGCTTGTGTTTGTATCACGAAAATATTTGTTTACTTTTAAAATCTCTTGATAAATACGTTGGTGGAAAATACTGCTCAACTTTGCAAACATTTACCAATAGTTTAGTTTGCAGTACTAATAACGAAGAATGTATGTTCAGTAGTTGTTCACTTTGTCAAGATTCTTTTACAGAAAAAAATTGAGGAAAACGTTACGAACGGCAACGTTAAGATTACTTGGTCACAATGGATGATCGAAAATTGTCGTGCAGAAAAAAATGCGTTTTCAGGAAATGTTGATGAAGCAGTTTTGTTATTGAAGTCAAAAGTCGAATATTTTCTGTTTCACGTATACATTAAACGAGAACAGGCGAAGTATTTTGAAAAGTTAAAGACCGAAGTTAGCGATGAAAAGATAGTATTGCAAGTCGATTTTGCAGAGAATTTCAACATGCAAGAACAAGACGAGATCCAGAAGGCTCATTAGAGCACGAAACCGTAGAGTATATTTACTGCTTTTGTGTGGTCAAAAGGTGAAAGTTTTTCTTTCTTATTGTTAGATGTAACACGCGATAAATTTGTTGTTGATTCTGCTTTGAAAATCATTTTAAATTATATCGAAACACTTCTTCCAAATGTTGAAGAAATAAATTATTTTTCAGATGGTGCGGCTTCTCAGTTTAAACAAGGTTTTTATTTTCGAAATTTAGCACGAATTGCTAAAGAACGAGAAATAAATTTGAGTTGGCATTTTTTCGCAACTTTTCATGGAAAGTGTATAGTTGACGAAATTGGAGGTACTGTAAGACGTCTTGTGTGGTCAGCTATACTGGCAGGAAGAGTGTGTCGATCAGCTGAAGATTTTATTACACTTGCAAAGAAAAAAACTAAGAAAATAATTTTGATTGAAGTCACGAGAAATGATATTGATAGTTCGGAAACGAAACTTGAAAATCTTTTCAGAATGGTGAAATCTGTTCCAGAAACATTAAAAATGCATTCAGTTAAGGTGGTTGATGGAAATGAATTAGAGTTTCGTTATTATTCGATGTGTTCTCAGAAAAAAACTATAACATATTGATAGTAAACATGTAGATTTTTTAGAACTTTTTGCATGACTTTGTTTTGCTGATTATGTTTGTATTTCGATACTCGATGAAATGTAGAAACGGGTTTCAGTTAACCAAGACTTTGTAGTAAACGATAAGATGAAAAGAAAATAGTAGAAAAAAATTTACTGATAGAAACATCTGAAAAAAACAAAAAAAGAATACACAGCTCGAAGGAGGTCGGATCTTCGTCCCGAGCTGGAGAAACACTAAAGTTTGAAATAGTACGCACTTAAATTTTAGTGGCAAAGAGCCTCTAAGTGTGTCTCAAACCTATACCAGATAGTTTATTGGAGTGGGAAATGTTCAGTTTAACAGAGACTTAAGAGGTCTCCACACATGCTGATGCTATCTTTAGTGGTTAGAATTTTAGAAATGTCTCTTTGAACGTCTAAACAACGTGTTGAGACAAAGTCACATCAAATCAAAAGGATACATGAATTTTCGATAGAAAGGTGTCATACCGTTACGTTTGTTTTTTGCACTTTTTCCGTGTAGAAAAGATGTAGGAAAAAATATTTTTAACGATATGAAGCTCGTTAAAAGCTCTACAAAATTCATCTTTGCAGCATTTTATTCTGACAGCGACTTTCGCAGAAAATCACGACTTAAAGACGAACACTTCAAATTTAGGGTCCTTTTACGTGACTCCGTTACGCGATCAAAAAATCTTTCCAGAGACTCGAGAGTTGGATGGAAACTATTCATTTTTATAGCATAAATAGAGAATGATGAGCTACGTCGAATGACGCTTGAACGAACTTTCTAGCTCCTAAAGTTCTCGAGATAATTGGAAAATAGTATATCGAAAAAGCCGCAGTACAGAAAGAGGTAGAAAATTGTGTCAAACTTGATAACGATTCTAATAGAGCGACTTGGACAGGAGAGATGTTCTGTTTATAAAAGTGGAGCGCTGGTAAAAAACAGCAAGAAAGATGAGTTCAATATATATTACTTAAGAATACAAATATTCAGAAAAGGATCAGGCTGACATGAAAAGTTGAGTTTTTTAAACAAACTGCAATACGACTGCATTCAACCTCAAACAGTCATGTTTTCCTCATTGTAGCAATAGATGCTAGTAACAACAAATGTACCCCTACAACACAAAATCCTATTGATATATATGCTCTCCAGGTGTTAAAACGAATCCTCTTTTATCTCATGCTTTTGGTAAGGATGGAATAGTAGTCGTATTGCCATTAATAAATGACAAAGGGCAAGAGCTACCGGATCCAGGAATTGCACTTACAACAATCAACAATAGCAGAACACACAGAAGAAAGATCCACATTCGTCGTTGTGTTGCAGTACTGATCCAAGTACGTTTAGTATTTATAAAATTCAATTTCCAGCAGCCAGTGTGCAGTCCAAGGAACATCCAATATGAAAGTTGTATGGAAGGTACGTCAACAAACACATGGAAGATATAAGCGGTTATTAAAGTAATGGGTACCGCTAAAAAGATCAAAGCCAGAACTAGAGCAACATCACGGTCAATATATCTTGCTGTCCATTGTATAAAAGTGGCATCGAGTGCACATAATACAATATAGTGTATTAAATAGACACCAAATGATACTTTTCCAAGAAAATGAACTGGTTTTAGGGTCAACATACGTTGAATATGTGATGAGGTTAACACAGCAAGTAGCAAACAACTACCACCAACAGAAATCCACAACCATCCAAACATCCAGCCTAGTGGAGCCCATATCGTGCCAGATCCATTGATAACATCAGTGTTAAATACTGGATATGAACCGAAGTAAATTGCAAAAACTAGTAAGCATATAGTAATCAAACTAAACCAGACTCTTTGAGTTCTTGTTCCAGTTTCCATGGCACGCCAAGGATTTAGCAGTGCATTTGCATCCAAATCACTCAGTAAGATACCGAAGATAAACGGTTGAATGTACAGCACCATTTTCGGGATGGCACCATTAGTCGCAAGCCAGATAATTGGTAAAAGGAGAGCTATTACAGCATAAATAAACATACGAACGCGATACACTAATCGTTGAGTAAGTAAAAAAGCTAATGCGTAAACTACAATGGAGCAAATGAATTCCACCTGCATTGTCCATTGTATTGTATACAAAGCAGGCATCCAGAGATATTGTCCAACTGTATTGACGAGTGCATAACCCAAATTGGTTTGATTCACTTCTACGGTACCTTCTCCGATTTCATGACACTCATTAAAACCATACCAGGGTCGATAGTGAAGAATAGAGTAGTAGAACAGCAGCGATATTGTTGATGGTATAAACAGCCGTGGAAATCGCCGAATCAATCCACTAATAAGAATTGATGAATCCTTTTTTTGCATGTATCGATGAACTAAAACATGTCCTGACAGAACAAAAAAGCCGCTGACAGCAAATTCTCCCGCCACCAGTAGACGAAGAGGAGAATGTTGCATCCATGGTTTGAAGAAAATTGAGAAATCTTGATTATGGCTTGTTTTTCCCATGAGCAGACAATGACAAATCACCACAATCAGACACAAGAGTCCTCTAAGACCGTCTAAGTATGCTAGCTTAGAATCAGTATTGCTTTGTGTTATCGTAACAAACTTCTGTGGTGTGGTATCTAAGGTCTCTGACGGTTTAACGTTTGTACACATCTTCATGTTTATTATCGTCGCTTCATAATTTATTGGGTCGATATTTATTTTTAAGGACGTTGTGTCACATGCTTGATTTTCTGTAGTAGACGATGACTGTGCCACAAATTTGTCAGCCATTTTAAGTTGCTGAATTGAAGAAAGAAAAAGTTTATGATTTAAACTTAAATTCTTTAAATACTTTAAGCCTTAAAAAAGAGGTGCTCGTATTTCAAAGATTTTTTTCGCAATTTTAATGATATAGACCTCGGGATAGCGTCAAAATGTACACAACACTTGTCGCTAAAGCTTAACAAAGCCGGTTTTTTGAAAAAAAAA